TTCTATTAATGGAAGTGCCACACGATTGGCTATTTTGATACAAAATTAGTTCTTCTTTAAAGAATTAATGATATGTGTAATCCAATAGCTATATTTTGTCATTATGGTATATTTTCATTTATATATCAAAACCAATTTAGTCATTAAACTTTAAAGACAAGTACCAAATTATTCCTTAAATTTTAATTATAAATATCAATTCAGTCATTTAACTTTAATTACATGTCAATTTGGTATATAAATAGAAATATGTCATAGGATAAAATATAACTGTGATTTTAAACGTTATTAATATTTTAAAAAAGAATTGATTTTGTGGTAAAGATAATGAGTCACATAGTACTGTTGTTAACAAAAGAACTATTTTGATATTAGAAATTCAAGTTTAAGAATAGTTTTGGTGCTTTTTGAAGTTTAAAGATAATTTTAGTACAACTCTAAAAGTTGAGGGATCAAATTAGTATTTTAACATTAATATTATTAGTTATTAGTTAACATACTATTTGCTTTAAGAGGGTGAGAGAAGAAACAGCCCGCGTAGAAATAAAATTAGTGGAAAAAGGTCAAAGAAATCACATGCTATGAGGGGGACCAGTGAGGAGCAGAGAAGTGAATCTGGTGTCGTACCGGCCGGTATAGTCGGTACATATCAATTTTTTATGTTGAATGAAATTGTATGGTATGAAAATTTATTTTGGTCAAAATTCGGTTGGTTTAGTCAAAATTTGATGTATTGATTGAAATTTTAGTGTGTCGACTGATTCACTAAAATTTTGACTGGTACATACTGGTAAATTTAAAAAAAAAAGATTTCCTAATCCAAAACGACGTCGTTTTGGGCTAAGGGCTTCTTACTACGCTGCAATTGTAATTTTAGATACCAGGTACACAAAAATGGTTCGTATAACTCAATTTAAATTTAAAAAGGGTAAATTTCATTTTTGATCCTTAATTTTAATGTTATATATAATTTTCATCCTTTAACTTTTTTATTACTTTTTTTGTTTTTTTTTTCTTTTTTTTTAGTCTTTCTATCAATTATTTTGTTAAATTTGTCTAAATATATACATTTTTAGTCCTTTAATTTAAAATAGATGGATAAAAAATATACATATATTAGAAGTTGAGAAACTAAAAATGATCATTTTAAACTTATTTTTAATTTATAAGAATATTATAATTTTAAATATTAGAATCTCTTATCTTATTTTAAAATTTGATATTTAATTTACAAAAATATATATTTATAGCGATAAATCCGAAATGATACACGAAAAATTTCGATATTCAATACGTATCGTTTCAGTAGTAAAATCGATACGTATACTGGTACGATATTGACTACTTTGATGAGGAGCATATTTTAACCAACAAAACTATCACCTGGAGCAACTGGCGAACAGGGACATGATAATATTGGTCTAGAGTCATGGAATGCGTTAACGGTTAAAAACTTGAGTAATATTAGAAATTTTTTGTTTAAATTTTATAAAATAAGTGACACGAAATTTATTAAAACAAAAAAGAGTTATGTAAAATAATAATAATAATAATAATAATAATAATATAATGTCAGAGAAGAATCTGTGCGGGCCAAGTCTAATTGGGCTTAATTTCCGAATAAAAAGACAAAAATGTGCACTTCCTTTTGGTTTTACTTTAAGATATGGACTTTTACTTTTATATTTCCAGCCTAATTGCACAGCCCAAGTCTTCGGAACAATTAGAAAGGCTGGTTTATGAGCTATTTTGCTTGGGCCTTAGAGGGAGTGGCGATGGCTTACCCGCCATTTGGTCAAAGCTATATAAAAATGGCAAAACCATAAGTTAAGCCCCTGAACTAATCCCAGAATTGCTATTAAGCTCCTAGACTTTAATTGATGCAGTTAAGCCCTTAAACTTTGGGATCAAAGCAATTAAGCCCTTCTTCTTAAGCAATTTATTTTAAAAATTAAAGTCTAGGGGCTTAATAGTGTAAGAAGAAGGGCTTAATTGCTTTGATCCCAGAGTTCAAGGGCTTAACTGCATCAATTAAAGTTTAGGGTTTTAATAGCAATTCTGGGGTTAGTTCAGGGGCTTAGCTATGGTTTTGCCTATAAAAATTGTTTAATTTTATTGTTAAAATAACTAATAATTAATAATTATTATTTAATAGAATTTTTGAGTAACGGTAACAAAATAATAGATGCTCATAATCACACTTGACTTTAGAGGGTGTTGTGTTTGAGTTTTTTTTTTTTTTTTCAAGTGTTTAAGTGAGGTGTAATTCTAACTATTCATTATTTTGTAAGGGTTATTTAATTTAATTATTAAAAATAAATAATAATTGATAAAATTAATAATATTTATTATTTAATAGATTAAAATTAATTTATAAATCAATATTTTTAAAATTATTGTTTTCTAGAAAATCCTTTAAGTGGTTTTATATGTGCAAAATCTAAATACGGACTTACCACTTACTTTGTTAATAGTAAGAAAAAAAGATTTTCTTAACAATTTTCTCTTTTTTCATTGTCGACTTCCTTATGGATAACAAGAAAAATATTGATTTAAAATTAAAATTTGTGTCTATAAACGATTTGTAAGAAGGAGGAATGCCTTCTC